GGAATGCATTAGGGGGTGATGTGGTGGAGGCTGACTCCATACACAGTTTCAAGTGTAGATATGATAGAGCCCAATAGGCTCAGGAATCTGTACACCTGTTGATTGATGGTTGAGAGGCGGGACCAAAGAGCCAGAGCTCAACCCCCGCAAACACAACTAGGTGAGTACACACACTTTTCCTGTGATTTCCTGCCCGAAACGCTATGCGTGTTAGTGGCTTTGCATCAATGTAAACATATCAATCTCATGTAATCTCACCAACCCATTGTACCTTCTTGCAAATAAATTATTATTATTATTATTATTATTATTATTATTATTATTATTATTATTATTATTATTATTATTATATTATAATAATAATTCAAATAAACCAATTGGAAACAATTTGTTGAAAATAAAGAAAATCACTCGGCCTATTAGGCAAATTGGGCTTTGCATACTAGGCCGAGAAGTGCATTCTGGCTACTAGGTACGTCATATATATTTTTTCTTGTGGCATAATAAGGCTTTCCATAAGGTTATTATATATGATTTGATTTTTTTTAATCTGAGTTAAAACTAATATAGAAATTTGATGAAACCTAACCCAACGTAATTTATTTTTTAATACAACATAATAATATTCATTAGAATTAACAAATTTAAAAAGAAATATTTGAATATAATGAAAATCACTTTGCCAATTAGGCAAATCAGGCCTTGCTTACCAGGTAAAATTAAACAATTTAATCTGCTTGACAATATTTTAAATATAAAGCTGATGTAGTTTATATTTCCAAGACTAATAATTTGGATAATTTCCTTTCATTTATTAATCTTGATTCACTTATATTTCTGTTAATAACAGATTTGCAAGAGGCAAATTTCTAAGTATTGATCCAACCAACTAGAGTGACATGCCTATCAATACATGAACCAAACTTGTGATACCTAACCTGTTAATACCATACACATGTTGCGTGATTTGGGGCTCCTAAACTTTGCACACTGACCAATAAAAACTATTACACTCCTCGTAAGGAACCTGCAGAGTGGAATAACCTGAAAGAGCTAGTTGTGGTCAACTCCGTACACAGTTTTAAGAGTACGTATTTTAAGAAATAAGGGGACCAGGAACCAATGGAAAAGGCAACTTAAAGGCATGATCCAGGAACTAGAGCTCGACCTGCATATAATTACAGGTGAGAACACACACAAACACACGTGTGTGTTCTACCTCTCCGGTAGAGGCAGAAACAAATGAGCAGAGTTTTTTCACCCTGATGATCCTGTTCACCTAGCAGTATATAGGAACCTGGGAGTTCCCAGGTTCTTGGAACTTCCAGAACTTGGGAACCTGTTAAGCACAACTAGGTGAGTACACACACACCTTTCCTTCTCAGAAAAAGTCAAAACTATTAAAAACCGTCATATTTACCTCCACCGTAGCCAGCCACCACAATGGAACCTGGACATTAGGCCTGAGAAGCTATGAAATAACTCCGCATTATGTTCCTGATAGTGCCTTAACGGGGTCAATACTGGGGTACCAGCGACCGGGGGAGACAATACTCCACTGGAACATAGTCCAGTACCACGACTGGTGTTGGTACTGGAGGAACTGCTGTACCAGTATGAGGATTAATACTGGTGTACCTGGCATTCATGTTGGCAATACTGGTATAACAGGAACTGATGGAGGTATTTTGTTGCAGTTCATCCCATCCTCTCAACTAATAGATTCTTTTTTTAAGTCAAGGCAAATAATGTTACAAACGCAACCTAATGTGAAAAGTAAAGCCTCACAAATATCTACATTTTCTATGAATCGGACTCGATAGGTTAGGCAGGTTGCTTGAGTTCGTACGTTTCTGGAGCCAGATTCACGAAAGCACTTACGCAAACACTTACGAACGTGTACATCTTTCCTCAATCTTTGGCGACTTTGTTTACAATTATTAAACAGTTAATGAGCACTGAAGCACCAGGGCGCTGTTTATAACAATAACAATAGTTGATTGGCAAGTTTTCATGCTTGTAAACTGTTTAATAAATGTAACCAAAGCCGTCAAAGATTGAGGAAAGATGTACACGTTCGTAAGTACTTGCGTAAGTGCTTTCGTGAATCTGGCCCCTGGTCCGGTTCGAAGGTTGTATTTTGTAAGGAGTGGCAAAAACAAGAGAACGGGTTGGGGTAACTATTGTAATAACGACTGACGCTACCAACGAACACCATATATACGGCAGGCGAGCCGTCTTACTCAAAATAAACCCATAAACTACAACCTCAGAAAAAATAAACCCAACACTCTAGGCGGTAATTCAAGATTTAATGTATGAACCACTTGATAAGTCATAAATAAAATCGATCAGATAGCACAACAGTGCAATGAACCTGAAGTGCATTGGTTTGGGGCTGGGCTTCGGACCTATTAACCGTGACAAGGTTATGCAGGTCGCACAGTAGCTTACTGACCAACTCGCAAGTATACTGTAGTCCTGAACATAGTCAAGGACTAAAGGAAACTCTCAGTGTATAAACACCAGAAAACAGGATACACATTTAGGGGGTATATATATATATAATTTGGTGTGGAGTGATTAGTCAGTGATTTTTAATACCCCACAGTATGGGACAGATCTTTCTCCTTTGGGCGATTTTTATACATGAACTAGTTAGAAAACGAAGTGTGATAAGGGGTTTGAGGGAGACAAGCTTGCTAGACGTGTAAGTATTCTAGATAAAACATTAAATAATAATAATATTGAGTAAAATATTTACACATTTGTGAAGAGATCAGTTTACATGAGCATCATCTGATTACTTTTAATATAATTATTAAGAACTAGCAATACCCGGCCACGCGTTGCTGTGGTTCAGCAACTCTACCATCCCCTCTTCCTTCCCACCATGCTCCACTCCCCTGTCCCTTTGTCCTCCCCACCATTCTCTATTCCCACCATCCCAAACTCCCCCGTCCCCTCGTCCTCCCCACCATCTCTCACTTCCGTCCCCTCGTCATCCCCACCATTCCCCACTCCCTCGTCCGATGCCTTCCCAAATGGTCTGATGTTCCCATCAGAAAATTGGGAACATCAAGTGATCTGATGTTCCCATCACTGAAATATAAGAAAAACAGTTAAAAAAATGAATTGCAAATATGAAAAAAAAATTCTCACGAACTGAACGGTATGGTAAACAACACAGCTCAATTCCAACGCAATTCACACAAAGTAATTAAATCAAAATGAAAATAAATCAAAATCTATGAAAATTCAATTTATCAATGCAATCAGAAACATTGAAATGGAATTGTAACATATTTAGTACAGCATGTGTGTTGCTCTTACATGCAACAGATGGCGCTGTTTTTCAAGAAAAACATTGTTTTACCTGTCTCAGGAGTGGCATGTATACTAATACTTATGGAATGAACAGTATGGTAAACAACACAGCCCAATTCCAACACAATGTCACACAAAATAATTAAATAACAAATAAAATAAATCGAAATCTATGAAAATAAAATTTATCAATGCAATCATGAAATGGAATTCATGACATATTTAGTATAGCGTGCATGTTGCTATTATGTGCAACAGATGAAGTCTCCGTGGTGTAGTGGTAAGACACTCGCCTGGCGTTCCGCGAGCGCTATGTCATGGGTTCGTATCCTGGCCGGGGAGGATTTACTGGGCGCAATTCCTTAACTGTAGCCTCTGTTTAACGCAACAGTAAAATGTGTACTTGGATGAAAAAACGATTCTTCGCGGCAGGGGATCGTATTCCAGGGACCATAGGATTAAGGACTTGCCCGAAACGCTACGCGTACTAGTGGCTGTACAAGAATGTAGCAACTCTTGTATATATCTCAAAAAAAAAAAAAAAAAAAGATGGCGCTGTTTTTCAAAAACTCATGCTTTTACCTGTCACAGGGATGGCATCTATATAGTAGGCATATAAAAAGACGCGCCTATTCGAATGCAACGTTGTGTCAAAATTTCAAAGCAATCGATGAAGAATTTTCGGAGATTACAGCGTGTGTTGATCTTACGTCCAACAGATGGCGCAGTTTGTCAAAAAAAAAGCATGTTTTTTTCCTGTCACAGGTGAGGCATGTATATAGTAGATATATGAAAACACGCGCCTATTCGAATGCAACGTTGTGTCAAAATTTCAAAGTAATCGATAAAGATGTTTCGAAGATTTCCCTCACATGAAAAACACAGTTGTTCAGAAAAAGCATGTTTTTTTGCCATCACAGACATGACATCTATATAGTATGTATATAATAACCTGCTCGGATGCGAATGGAACGTTGTGTGAAAATTTCAAAGCAATCGGTGAAGAACTTTCGGAGATTAGCGGCTATACACAAACGAACATTTCCATTTTTATTTATATAGATTAAAGTAATATATCAGTTACACTGAAGGAAAGTTCTCAAGGGCCTCTTGGAAACAGATTGCAACTTTTATCTACGGTCTCGCGAGCGATTTCGAAAGGATTCGAATCCAAGCCCAGGAAGATTGATTAGGCACCAATCCATAACTGTGTGGCCGTGTTCACCCCAGCAGTACCTGGGTGCCGGGCTGGTAACTGATCAGCGAGTGTACCCATGAGCTACGGGAAGGATAAGGTCAGAGCCTGCTAACACGAGGCAGAAGCCGTCGACTCCTGAACCCAACTGTGAAACAACGCAACAATTAATAACCAGATACCTCATAAAACGCAGAAATGGAACAATGCAATACGACACGAAACAATAAATCATCCCACGGAACAAGGAAACTCGACAAGGAACAATGCAACACAACAAATAAAACAACACGGAACAGTGGTTTCAAATGTCAAACTATTTAGTTCAATGATGTGAAATACTTTTGATTTAGTAGAAAACATATACGGAGCGGCTTATCCGGAGGTCATAACTAAATAGGATGAATATGTTTCTCTAATGTTGAGCAACGTTTTCTTTGTGAATTCATTAAGCGTTTCACTAAGAGCCTTGCTTGTTTTATTTTGCAGTTTGTGGGTCTTTGTGTAACCTTTCTGTACCAGAGTACCGGGTACTCGTTGAAGTACATACTGAAGTACCGGTGATTGGTGGAGTATACTGGTGTGCCGGAGACTTGTGGTGTTTAACCAGGTACATCTGGGGCATGGTGGAGGTAGTACTGGGGTACTGGGGACTGCTGGAGGTAGTACTGGGGTACTGGGGACTGCAAGAGGTAATACTAATGTACTGGGGACTGGTGGAAGTAATACTGATGTACTGGGGACAGCTGGAGGTAATACTGATGCACTGGGGACAGCTGGAGGTAATACTGATGTACTGGGGACTGGTGGAAGTAATACTGATGTACTGGGGACAGCTGGAGGTAATACTGATGTACTGGAGACTGCTGGAGGTAATACTGATGTACTGGGGACTGGTGGAAGTAATACTGATGTACTGGGGACTGCTGGAGGTAATACTGATGTACTGGGGACTGGTGGAAGTAATACTGATGTACTGGGGACAACTTGAGGTAATACTGATGTACTGGGGGACTGCTGGAGGTAATACTGATGTACTGGGGACTGCTGGAGGTAATACTGATGTACTGGGGACTGGTGGAGGTAATACTGATGTACTGGGGACTGGTGGAGGTAATACTAATGTACTGGGGACTGGTGGAGGTAATACCGATGTACTGGGGACTGCTGGAGGTAATACTGATGTACTGGGGACTGGTGGAGGTAATACTGATGTACTGGGGACTGGTGGAGGTAATACTGATGTACTGGGGACTGGTGGAGGTAATACTGATGTACTGGGGACTGGTGGAGGTAATACCGATGTACTGGGGACTGCTGGAGGTAATACTGATGTACTGGGGACTGGTGGAGGTAATACTGATGTACTGGGGACTGGTGGCGGTAATACTGATGTACTGGGGACTGCTGGAGGTAATACTGATGTACTGGGACTGCTGGAGGTAATACTGATGTACTGGGACTGCTGGAGGTAATACTGATGTACTGGGGACTGGTGGAGGTAATACTGATGTACTGGGGACTGCTGGAGGTAATACTGATGTACTGGGGACTGCTGGAGGTAATACTGATGTACTGGGGACTGCTGGAGGTAATACTGATGTACTGGGGACTGCTGGAGGTAATACTGATGTACTGGGGACTGCTGGAGGTAATACTGATGTACTGGGGACTGCTGGAGGTAATACTGATGTACTGGGGACTGCTGGAGGTAATACTGATGTACTGGGGACTGCTGGAGATAATACTGATGTACTGGGGGACTGCTGGAGGTAATACTGATGTACTGGGGACTGCTGGAGATAATACTGATGTACTGGGGACTGCTGGAGGTAATACTGATGTACTGGGGACTGCTGGAGGTAATACTGATGTACTGGGGACTGGTGGAGGTAATACTGGTACATTGGAAAGCGTTAACATTATCCATATTTACTGTAAGGTTGTAAATTATAATAATATCACTTCGACACTAACTACTGATGTACTGGGGGACTGCTGGAGGTAATACTGATGTACTGGGGACTGCTGGAGGTAATACTGATGTACTGGGGACTGCTGGAGGTAATACTGATGTACTGGGGACTGCTGGAGGTAATACTGATGTACTGGGGACTGGTGGAGGTAATACTGGTACATTGGAAAGCGTTAACATTATCCATATTTACTACCACCACAGGTTGTAAATTATAACCACCAATATCACTTCGACCACTAACAACTACTACCAACACCACCACCACCACAACAACTACCACCACCACTACAACTACCACCACCACTACAACTACCACCACCACTACAACTACCACCACCAACAACTACCACCACCACTACAACTACCACCACCACTACAACTACCACCACCCTACAACTACCACCACCCTACAACTACCACCACCACTACAACTACCACCACCACTACAACTACCACCACCACTACAACTACCACCACCACTACAACTACCACCACCACTACAACTACCACCACCACTACAACTACCACCACCACTACAACAACTACCACCACCACTACAACAACTACCACCACCACTACAACAACTACCACCACCACTACAACAACTACCACCACCACTACAACAACTACCACCACCACTACAACAACTACCACCACCACTACAACAACTACCACCACCACTACAACAACTACCACCACCGCTACAACAACTACCACCACCGCTACAACAACTACCACCACCACTACAACAACTACCACCACCGCTACCAACAACCACCACCACCGCTACAACAAAACCACCACCGCTACAACAACCACCACCACCGCTACAACAACTACCACCACCGCTACCACAACTACCACCACCGCTACAACAACCACCACCACCGCTACAACAACCACCACCACCGCTACAACAACCACCACCACCGCTACAACAACCACCACCACCGCTACAACAACTACCACCACCACTACAACAACTACCACCACAACTACAACAACTACCACCACCGCTACAACAACTACCACCACCACTACCACAACTACCACCACAACTACAACAACCACCACCACCGCTACAACAACTACCACCACCGCTACAACAACTACCACCACCGCTACAACAACCACCACCACCGCTACTAACAACTACCACCACCGCTACAACAACTACCACCACCGCTACAACACCACTACAAACAACCACCACCGCTACAACAACTACCACCACCGCTACAACAACTACCACCACCACTACCACAACTACCACCACCGCTACAACAACCACCACCACCGCTACAACAACCACCACCACCGCTACAACAACCACCACCACCGCTACAACAACCACCACCACCGCTACAACAACTACCACCACCACTACAACAACTACCACCACCGCTACAACAACCACCACCACCGCTACAACAACTACCACCATCGCTACAACAACTACCACCACCGCTACAACAACTACCACAACAACTACCACCACCGCTACAACAACTACCACCACCGCTACAACAACTACCACCACCGCTACAACAACTACCACCACCGCTACAACAACTACCACCACCGCTACAACAACTACCACCACCGCTACAACAACTACCACCACCGCTACAACAACTACCACCACCGCTACAACAACTACCACCACCGCTACAACAACTACCACCACCGCTACAACACCACCACCACCGCTACAACAACTACCACCACCGCTACAACAACCACCACCACCGCTACAACAACTACCACCACCGCTACAACAACTACCACCACCGCTACAACAACTACCACCACCGCTACAACAACTACCACCACCGCTACAACAACCACCACCACCGCTACAACAACTACCACCACCGCTACAACAACTACCACCACCGCTACAACAACTACCACCACCGCTACAACAACAACCACCACCACCTACCACCACCACTACCACAACTACCACCACCCTACAACAACACCACCACCGCTACAACAACTACCACCACCGCTACAACAACTACCACCACAACTACCACCACTACCACCACCGCTACAACAACTACCACCACCGCTACAACAACTACCACCACCGCTACAACAACTACCACCACCGCTACAACAACTACCACCACCGCTACAACAACTACCACCACCGCTACAACAACAACTACCACCACAACTACAACAACTACAACACCACCGCTACAACAACTACCACCACCCGCTACAACAACTACCACCACCACCAACCACTACACCGCTACAACAACCACCACCACCGCTACAACAACTACCACCACCGCTACAACAACTACCACCACCGCTACAACAACTACCACCACCGCTACAACAACTACCACCACCGCTACAACAACCACCACCACCGCTACAACAACTACCACCACCGCTACAACAACTACCACCACAACAACTACCACCAACAACTACCACCACCGCTACAACAACTACCACCACCAACGCCACAACAACTACCACCACCACCACCACTACACAACTACCACCACCGCTACAACAACTACCACCACCGCTACAACAACTACCACCACCGCTACAACAACTACCACCACCGCTACAACAACTACCACCACCGCTACAACAACTACCACCACAACTACAACAACTACCACCACCGCTACAACAACACCACCACCGCTACAACAACTACCACCACCGCTACAACAACTATCACCACCGCTACAACAACTACCACCACCGCTACAACAACTACCACCACCGCTACAACAACTACCACCACCGCTACAACAACTACCACCACCACTACAACAACTACCACCACCGCTACAACAACTACCACCACCGCTACAACAACTACCACCACCGCTACAACAACTACCACCACCGCTACAACAACTACCACCACCGCTACAACAACCACCACCACCACTACAAACTACCACCACCACTACAACAACTACCACCACCGCTACAACAACTACCACCACCGCTACAACAACTACCACCACCGCTACAACAACTACCACCACCGCTACAACAACCACCACCACCGCTACAACAACTACCACCACCGCTACAACAACTACCACCACCGCTACAACAACTACCACCACCGCTACAACAACTACCACCACCGCTACAACAACTACCACCACCACTACAACAACTACCACCACCGCTACAACAACTACCACCACCGCTACAACAACTACCACCACCGCTACAACAACTACCACCACCGCTACAACAACTATCACCACCGCTACAACAACTACCACCACCGCTACAACAACTACCACCACCGCTACAACAACTACCACCACCGCTACAACAACTACCACCACCGCTACAACAACTACCACCACCTCTACAACAACTACCACCACCACAACAACTACAACAACTACAACAACCACCACCACTACAACAACTACCACCACCGCTACAACAACTACCACCACCGCTACAACACAACTACCACCACCGCTACAACAACTACCACCACCGCTACAACAACTACCACCACCGCTACAACAACTACCACCACCGCTACAACAACTACCACCACCGCTACAACAACTACCACCACCGCTACAACAACTACCACCACCGCTACAACAACTATCACCACCGCTACAACAACTACCACCACCGCTACAACAACCACCACCACTACAACAACTACCACCACCGCTACAACAACTACCACCACCACTACAACAACTACCACCACCGCTACAACAACTACCACCACCGCTACAACAACTACCACCACCACTACAACAACCACCACCACCACTACAACAACTACCACCACCACTACAACAACTACCACTACACCAACTACCACCACCGCTACAACAACTACCACCACCGCTACAACAACTACCACCACCGCTACAACAACTACCACCACCGCTACAACAACTACCACCACCACAGCAATAACGACCACCACCGCTACAACAACTACCACCACCGCTACAACAACTACCACCACCGCTACAACAACTACCACCACCGCTACAACAACTACCACCACCGCTACAACAACTACCACCACCGCTACAACAAACCACCACCGCTACAACAACTACCACCACCGCTACAACAACTACCACACCGCTACAACAACTACCACCACCGCTACAACAACTACCACCACCGCTACAACAACTACCACCACCACTACAACACTACCACCACCGCTACAACAACTACCACTACCGCTACAACAACTACCACCACCACTACAACAACTACCAACATTGCTACAACAACTACCACCACCGCTACAACAACTACCACCACCGCTACAACAACTACCACCACCACTACAACAACTACCACCACCGCTACAACAACTACCACCACCACTACAACAACTACCACCACCACTACAACAACTACCACCACCACTACAACAACTACCACCACCACTACAACAACTACCACCACCACTACAACAACTACCACCACCACTACAACAACTACCACCACCACTACAACAACCACCACCGCTACCACCGCTACAACAACTACCACCACCACTACAACACCAACCTACCACCACTACCACCACCACTACAACAACTACCACCACCACTACAACAACCACCACCACCACTACAACACAAGGGCCTATGGCATGCCCTTTAACCAGGGGTGTCTGCAGCAGTTTACCGAGGCTGCAGACATTGGCGGAAGGTCTTCCAAGAACCAATTGAGATGATGCATACTCTCTTCTCCCTTCTCCTTCCTCTCCTCCACTCATTTTCCCCCTTCTACTCTCTCCCTCTCTACTCCCACCTTCTCCTTCTACCTTGTCATCTCTAACGCCTCTCCTTCTTTCCCTGCCTCTTACCACCTCCCTTCTCCTTTCTACTGCTTATTCCCTCTTCTTTTCGTTCTCTTCCTCATCTTCTCCTTCTTCTCTTATCCTCCCCCTA